TGCATATCTCCCAGTGCCTAAAAGCTGGGCATTGTGTGCAGGGAATGATAAGATTTTTATAATTTGTAGCAGCCCTCTGCACATAACATACAGCTTTTAATTATAATTTACACACCCAGTGCGTTGTATAACTTATCATTTTGCCTGGAGTGTGACTTTAAAGGAGTAAAAGGCAGGGGGGTAGGGGGGGTGAGGGGTATTATTTACTAGTACTGGTGGAACAGCACATTAAAATGTAGATACTGAAGGAGTCATTTACAGTTTAGTAACATTACGATTAGAACTCCAATATCCACTTAACTGCTTAAAATTAGGTTTAAAAGTGTAGCACTGTTTCCACTATGGTCACAGTCAGAGCAAAAGTATTTGGGTAGTGAGTGGGTGTCAGTGACTGACCTAGTTAGGGTTAGACATACCTTAAAATTCTTATAAACTGTGAGGAAGATTTAAAGTTGGTCAATTTCTCCCATGTCTGTTCAAATATGAGAGAGGCGACCCTTGGGGATGTGATCTCTTCAATTAAGCTTATATGTTCTTTTTTTTGCAGCCACTCCCTGATTGTTGAGATATTCGATGTATTCCAGTACATGGGTATTAATGCCTTTGCGGTGTTTAATAGGTCTGGTATTACTGTTCATTTTTATTTACTCTTAGGGAGGCCTGTACCATTAAATAGTTAATTCCGTAGGACAAGAGGTAGTGGAATTATGAAAATATATCCCAAGACATGGAGCCAACAATGCTGTATCAGAGGACAGTGTCACCAGAGATGGGAGAAAACACCCTGAGAGCCACATCCACTCCAGCAGAGTAGTGTATACCATGAACAAGGACCTTAATTTGACAGGAGTGTAATACCACCTGGTTAATAGTTTAACATTAGTTTCCATAAGGTGCTGTTAGCAGTAGGATTTACTACCTTGTCTTGGAGCGTGTGATGTCGTTGAGCCAAGTAAGTAAGTAAGGTATTGTGAGGTTGATTGGCAAAGCAATATATTTGCACAGTTGTGAAACCCCATGGATTAGGGAGGATGTTGAGGACACTAGGGTTTCTAGAGGGTTGAGGTCTTTTGGGGAGTGGAATGGTTTTGGTAGTGTTTACTAAATGTTGGAGTTGGCAAAATCTCTAGATATTGGAGATGAGGTCATGGTGGGGGCATCACTCATATGGAGCAGGCAAAGTGGTTCAGTTGATGCCCATTTGTTAAGAAATGTGTTGTTGAGGCCTGAAGAAAAATGTGGCAGAAGTCTACGTGGAGTCCATAATATTGGAGAGAGTTCTATACCACTTATAGTATGGCCTAGAGACACCCATTTAATTGTCTGAGCATTGAAAATGTAGTCTAAAACTCTGTTTTGAGAGCCAAACTGATAATACACATGAAAATTGGGTAGGGTTAGTCCTCCATTAACTCATTCTTTGATAAGGATGAGATGGGAGATCCTTGGCTGTCTATGTGTATTTCTATGTTTGCAGCCAAATTGAGTTAACATCTATTTTTTATTTGTTACATGAGCTCATTCACATAGCATAAACTAAAATAAATTTAAAAAATGCTTTTTGCGATTTTAATTGGTTTTACTTGGGTTAGGTTTTATACTTGGCTTCTTAAGGCTTAAAATGTATATTTGCTTTTCCTTCTTTGTAATGCTAGGAGGGGCTGTAGAGCGTTGTGTTATCCCTGCCTGTACTGTGGTGGCTGATTTGTACAGTAGATTTGAGCACTCCATATCCTAACAAAGGGTTAAAGCAGGGATCTCAAACTCAATTTACTCGGGGGGCACTGGACACATTTTTTAGTCCCGTGGGGGCCGCTACTATATACAGTACCAGTATTAATGTATGTTACATGCGGCAACTGTCACCCATTCAAGTTAATGATCGGGTGACAGCTGCTGCATGTAAATGCCTGCACACCGCATGTAATCATATGTCAAAGGATTACATGTAGTCAGGAATCAATCACTATCCCTGGATGCACAGTTGTGTATCCAGGGATAGTGATTGTTTTTGTAACTGCATGTAATCCTTTCACATATGATTACATGCGGTATGCAGGCATGTACATGCAGCAGCTGTCACCTGATCATTAACTTGAATGGTAGACAGTATACACTCCACCCCAGCACACATAATAAACTCCCCCCTCCCTCCCAAGTCCCCAGCACACATAATAAACTTCTCCCTACCTCCCAAGCCCTCAGCACACAAAATAAACTTCTCCCTCCTCCCTCCCAAGCCCCCAGCACACATTAATAAAGCTCCCCCTCCCTCTTTTCCTTCCAAGCCCCCTCACCTGCTTGCATCTTTGCAGGGAGGAGGCACATCATCATTCCCTGGTGATCTAGTGGTGATTAGTAAGGTCTAGTGCAGACCTTACTAATCATCATTCTGCCGAAGCTCAGAACGGTCAGAGCTTCGTCCGGAGCTGACAGGGGCAGCTACGCGGTCTGCATCCAACAGAGATGCAGACCGTGGAGCTGCTCCCGCAAGTCAGGCACGTGGTCCGTGACCGTGTGCCCGACTTGTCAGCTGGTTGCAGGCCACTTTGTACCGGCTCACGGGCCGGAGTTGATCCACGGGTCAGTACTTTGAGACCCCTGGGTTAAAGGATTAAAAGCCTGGCTTCTGCATTGTATGTTAAATTATGTTAATAAGAGAAACACAATCAGCACATTTCTGTCCTAAATCTTTCTATAAGGACAGATCACTGTAAAGGTGGTCAGAAAAACTTAATTTCAGCCATTTTGCCGGGCGCAACAAAACATCTAAAACGTAAGAAATATAAAAAATATAAATATTTTTCAGTATGCTGTGTGAATGGGAACATGAGTGTTCACTGGTGGGCCCTGGGGGCGATGGATTCTATTCTCCTGATCTTCCACTTTGTGTTGCAGTAACCATTGATCATCAGGATGTTAGAGTGCAGGTGTTGTAAGCCCGTGATCACTTTGGCCTGAGAATCTGGGCAAATTTTGCACCCTTTGACCTAATGGATCTGATGAGATAGTTCCCTCCCATAATTTCACTTTAAGTGAGTGCTCTAAGTGGGAAAGCATGGTAGCTAACCCCCTTTTAGTGGACGTCCCATAACTAGAATGTCCGTTGGAACAGGAGTTGGTTGTTTCATGTCTTCCTATTGTTTCATGTCTTCCTATGTTCCAGAATGCCTACTGGGGAATAGTGAGCCTCTGCTGTGCGGAGAGGATTGGGGTGAGTCCAGAGCATGAAGGACAGCAGAGGGTGAAGCAAAAGCTTCCATCTGTCTCCTGGTGCTCTTCCCCGTGTTGCAGCAAGTGGTCAATGGTGAGTATCATAGGGATACAATAATGTGGGAGTTGGAGTCAATAGAAATGGAGCTCAGGCTTTGTTCATCCTGCCTTCACCATGCTCAGGACATGCCCTCCAGCAGCATTTTGTTTTTAACAAGTCAATTTTAAGGAAAACAAACTTCTAGGTGATCTATAATAATAATAAAAATAATAATCTATAGAACTCAAGATTTTGAAGCCTCTGACTATTTCTGTTCATATTCTGATGTCTGAGCATTATGATGAATAAGTAAAAAAATGTATATGACTAGTGGTGCAAGTGTCAAGAAGCACTAGAATACTTAGATACCAAGATATGTTAAGGTCTAAGTGTGCCTTCAAATTGGTGAACATGCAGTGTTTTACATGGGGGACCTTGCCAAACATCACCATAGCACACTTTTGGCACAAACTGCTGATGAACTGCGAATATCCATCTTGAGTGTACAGGCCCAATACAGTTAAAACCTTGAAAAATCAATACAGTTATCCCTAGCTGGGCAAATAAAGCTTTCCCACATTTGTTACATATTCAAATACTATACAATGGTAAAAAGATTTTTAAAAAACACACATTGTATTATCAACACTAGCACTAGAGAGCTCACTATGGATCTTTCCACCTTTTTGCTCAAAATACAACCCCCCTCTTTCCCCTTTTGTTTCTTTTCTCTAGTTGTTCTCTCCCCCCTCCAACCCATCTCCCCTTCCTTTTTCAACCCACATGCATCATACAAGCAACCTATCACTCCATTATGGATCCTTAGTATACACATACACACCCAACACACATCAATGCACCTTTTCACTCTTGCACCTCTGCACACCTTGCCTAATTTTCATATATTTAGATCTCATATAGTCTTCCTCAAGACACAGTAGGTTCTGCTGGGTCTCATTTTAGATAATTATTGATAAGCAGACTCTTCAACAGCAATATTTGTGGTTAACAGCAACAGTTTCATATAGTTCTTTTTCTTTTCTTTTTGTTATACCAAGTGGGAATCCTTAAACATGTAATATACAGTATATGTATCTACCTTTGCAAATAAGTTTGTATCCTGTAATCCCTATACGGGTTTATGTTTGAATAAAAATGATTAAAAGGAAAAAAACACAGTGTATAACTTATACCATTAAATAAGTCACATCATAAGTCACATCATATGTAACTTTTCCAAATGTTAAAGCCTAGTTTCCCTTTCCCATAGAATTTCAAAATCTCTTAAATGGAAAACTGTTTTTGTGAAACAATTTATATTGAAAATGTCTGTTTTTCAATGTGTGTAGTATCAGCATTGTAAAAGAACCAAGATGAATTAATGTTACAAGTTTATGACTATAAACATATGCTGTAACCCACTTCCGTCAAACAATTATATCTTCTCTGTCTGAGAATATTCCTTTAAATTATGAATTTATGTTAGCATTTCACAGTAAGATTTAATTATCACACTTTGTACCTCAGAAATAGTATATCTGAAGAGTTAATAAATGGCTTTGTACACTATGGTCAATTTCAATCATTTGGACTCTGTGTACAGTGGCAATTTTTTCTCTATCAAATGTATTTCTGTCATACTGTGCATTTACTACAGAAAGATTCTATACACAAAATTAAATGATGTATGTTTCCATGAGAGTAAAACCAAGGTCTCAACTATGGTAGAAAATAGTTTATCTTTTACACTGAATATACTGTAGTCCTCAGATCGGTCCAGCAATTTATCTAGAGGATAAAGAGCTCGACTTGAAGCATGCCAGGGAAGAAAATCCTTTTCTTCAGAGAGGTATCGGATAATCTCCAGGGGAATATTTTGCGTCAAATATCCAGCTCTGAAAAATTAAAGAGAAGAATGTTAAATTTGATTTACACTAGATGTTTTAATTTATGAGTATTTATTCCTCGCAGATAAATTAAATGTGGGAACCAGTAAGTAAACTTCTACATTTTTTTTTTTTTTTTAAAGGTTAGTCATTTTAGATACTTATATATACATTTCTCTTTTAAACAATAATACATATGGCCCTTATTCATTTTTATTTGGCTATTTTCACCTTTTCTTCTTTGACATTTGTTCCCTTCAGGTATTTACACTTGTACTGAATCAAAATGAACATCTGGATCAAAAAGGACCAAATACAATTTCCAGAACATTTTCATACTGTATACTATCACCCAAAAAAGACTTGTTTCTAGATTTTAATAAGAAATAATTTTATATGTTAGTATCAGGTGGGTCCTTAGTACATTTTAAATTAAATAATACCACTCATGTGCTATGTAAAGCATTACACCTTGAATAATTATTGGAGTAGCTGTAGACACTGCCTTTACCTTGACAATATATGACAATATCAGAATTTAAAGGAAGAAGAGTCTTTGTGGTGCTGGTAAGTATAATGGAGGGCAACTTTTTAATGCTGGATGTAGCTAGAAAAAATACACAGTATTTATATTCCTTTCATGCCCAGTAATTGTGGGAGCTGCTGTGGGTTATGCATTAACATTAGCTGTATAGATAATAGATTTAGAAGACTTTAGCCTCTAAATTAAATTTACCTTCACTTCATAAATCTGCTTCTTAAATAGATCTATCACCACTGCCTTTATCTAAGCGGGTTATTCACTAGGCTGCCAAAGGGTGAATAACCCCCTAAGTGTGTGACACTGATTTATAAACACTATGCACTTGACAACATGTGCAAGGTGGTAAAGGCTCAGATAGATACGATCTGTCTAATTGATAAATCAACCAGGGCTTTTAGTGAAGAAGAGGAACACCTATTACCTGCTCCATTTTCATTTACCTCTTGTATATTTATTTTCCATTTTCAGTGCAAAGACTGCTTTCATGCTTTACAAATGGAAACATAATTCTAACACACTCCAAACATTTATAATCGCTTATGACATAAGTCAAAGGAACATTTGTGTTCAGTCAGTTCTTTAAAGCCCAGTGAGCAGATCCTAATTATTTTCCAATTGTAGCTGCTGTACTGCCTTTAGGGCCAGTGTTTACAGGCTTTTTTCACTTCAGAACTGATTATCTCCCCATACAATCCTATCGAAATGTGGCAGGTAATCTGTCACTTTTCAAGGATGGATCAGGCTTTTAAAGAAGAAGTCTCACCTTAAATTATTTTTCACAGCTCACTCACTTAACTCCCACAGTATATGTTGCTTTTTATCCCATGCTTTTACGTGCAGTATAAACTGAGATGCAGACTTTGAAAGCTCTCTTCTCTTCATTCCTGACCATGCTCTGCAAAGGAGATGACCTCTTGATTGACAGCTCTTATCTCATTATCCCTGCACATTCCAGACACAAGTAAGGCCACAGAAATGTAGAGGGAGGGGGCATACTCATGCAGGAAACAACACAGGCACTAGAACTAGAAGGGGAGCCTTGCTTTGTGCTTGGAAAGTGCAGAGAACTTGAAATAATAGCTGTCAATCGATGGGCCAACTCCTTTGCAAATTGTGGTCAGGAATGAGCTGTCAAAGTCTGTAACTCAGTTTCTACTGAACACAGAAGCATGGGTTAAAAAGCAACATTTACTGTGGGAGTTAGGTGATTGAGCTGTGAAAAATAACACAAGGTGAGACTTCTTTTTTTTTTAATCTCAACTTTTCATTCACATTATTACTTAGTAAATACAGTTACACAAAAAACAGGGAAATCAATATGTAGACTGTTCCCTGACAGACTGGTCTCCTGACAGTGCCTGTATAGTTCAAGCATCAACGGGCAATGGCTTAGAACATAGATTGAGCCCTTGGGTAAGTATTCAGTGATGCTGATGATTGACCATTTTTCCTCTTTATAAAAAAATTCTGGAATAATGCTACTCCTACTGACTACCAATGTAGGTTTGTACTTTGGCAAAATATGTAAGCTGCATCAAAAGTCCACATGTCAGGTGAATCCTACACTAACAGAGTTAAAAAAACAGATATACACTTTTACTGCGACTGACTTAAGGTTTACATCAGAATAAAACAACTTTTATGTTAGCTGCATTAATTTAGGCTATATTATCATGGTCCTTTCAGCTTTTAAGCTATCAATTATAGCCATTCATTAAAAAAATGTGAGAGACCCCCCTGTGCCACCACCTGCAACGCGCCCTCCTCCCTCTGTGTGCTCTCTGCAGCCCACTCTCTCCATCATCGCTTCCTGCCATCTGATTACCCTTGTGTGCCCTCCTGCCCTCTCCCCCACAACCTTTAGGTGCATTTCTTACTACTGTATAATGTGCTGGGGTTCCATTCACAATGAACGGTACTGCAATGCACCACACTTCGAGGCATGTGTCAACCTGTGTTGCAATAATACGTTAAAACACACATTATAACAAACGTTCCACAATCTAATAGTCTGAAGGGCTATCAGGGGCTTAATTTTAGTATAATGCTGAATAAAGGAAGCAGGTAGGCTCCCTTCACATATGTGAAGTGTGTTGCAATACATTACTGCATGTGTGTGAAAGAGGCTTATCCGCTTTGCCTATTCAGTCTGTAAAGGTTTCTTACCAACCCACTAATACTTACCCTTTAACAATCAAGTTCACCTCTGAATAATTTTTTAATTTTCTCTAAACAGAAACAGAATCTGATTCCCTTAGCAGATTTTTTTCTGGAGCAATTCTCTGCTATACTCTTTACTTGAGTTACATGTTACATGGATATAATCATTCTTGTTGCAAAGACTTTAATAACCAAACTGTGCACCAAACAAACACAGTGCAACAAACAAACAACTCCCATGTGGGATAAAAAATATAAGATCAGTTTTAGGTGGTCTGCCCTCAACAGTAATTGTATGTTGTCATAATAAGAAGAAACAAAAAATCTGTATTGATTAAGTGAAAATGGTTATGGTCTGTTGTCATTGTTTTAGTTCATCTTAAAGTATACCTGCATGGAGAGCCCCATCCTATCACAAACATTATGCTACATTTACTACAATCTGTGCTCCCAGCCCCTTCATGCATGTTACCCCCAGCCTATAAAATTAAAATAAAAAACCTTAAAATTTAAGGCGGTAGGTCGGTTGGGAAAATGTACTGGCAAAGAAGGAGACGAAACCCCCCAAAATACTTGTTGTTTCCCTTGGAGAGTAATTATGTCCCAAGAGAACACATTTATTTGTGTTTTTTGATAGGATGGGGAGAGATTAAAATTTACTATATTACTGGGTTTATATTTCTGTCTCTATCCAGAAGAACGATGTACAAAAAAAAATACTTTTCAGTATCTGTCAGGATCCAGAGCACCCCCAGGTGGCGCTGGAGCCGGGTCCTGCAGTTCCTGTGCTCGCCTGCGGTGTCTCCAACAGCCAGGAACTGTAAGGAACCTGCAGCTCCGGTACTCACCTGTGGGTGTGCCCCAGCTGTGACTGATCATCCCATCACCTGGTGCTTCCTGGGAGGGTATTTAGGCCCTCCCTGCAGTCAGGAAGCTGGGTCAGTATTCTGTCAGGGTACCCTGCACAGGCGTTCTCACACCACATGCAGGTACCCACGCAGGATGACCAAATTAATATGCCCACACAGGATAGGGTTATATGCACAGTTTATTGGTTCCACATCAACAAAACTACAAACCCAACAAAGAGGGGTAACAGGCCTGCAGATGTACAGCAGGCCTCGGGATACAAGAAGAGTGGTCAGGTACAAGCCGAGTCGTTAACAGGAGGGCAGCGCGGTACAGGAACAGGATTGATGAAGAGTGGTCAGGTGCAAGCCGGGTCGTCAACAGGAGGGCAGCGCGGTACAGGAACAGGATTGATGAAGAGTGGTCAGGTGAAAGCCGGGTCGTCAACAGGAGGGCAGCGCGGTACAGGAACAGGATTCAACGGAGAGTGGTCGGGTAACAAGCCGGGTCGGTGACAGGTTTTCAGATAGGAAGCAAGGTTCAGGAAGCAAGGTTCAGGAAGCAAGGTTCAGGAAGCAAGGTTCAGGAAGCAAGGTTCAGGACATGGGCATCAGTCAGGTTAGCAACACAATACTGACCCAGCTTCCTGACTGCAGGGAGGGCCTAAATACCCTCCCAGGAAGCACCAGGTGATGGGATGAGCAGTCACAGCTGGGGCACACCCGCAGGTGAGTACCGGAGCTGCAAGTTCCTTACAGTTCCTGGCTGCTGGAGACACCCGCAGGCGAGTACAGGAACTGCAGGACCCGGCTCCAGCGCCACCTGGGGGTGCTCTGGATCCTGACAGTATCCGCTTTGCCTGCCACCAACTTAACGCCTTTCCCTGCCACCAACTTAACGCATACAGTTGTACACAACTGTTTCCAGCTGGCCACGTCAGTACGCCTTACATCGGTGGCTTTCACCTTTCTGGTATAAGCTCATGGTCACTTTAGCAACCATGAACTTATAACAGGAGGGTCCCCATGATAGTTCCATGTATATGGATAGCTGTCATCAGCAGCTGATAAGCTGCTGATGACAGCGATTAATTGAAATTCCGCACCCTCACCACATTTTGACAGCCTCTCATGCCCTCTCTTTCCTGTCTGGAGCTGCTCCATGCTCCAATCTGTGTTCCCTCAGATTCCAGCTTCTTTCCCCTGCCTGCATGGGCAGAGGTAGCAGGGATCTGAGGAGAAACGGAGGAGAGAGCTGTCAGGTTCAGGATGCCAAGCAGGGAGGCTATCAAAATTTAAGATGGAGAGCGGGTCTGTGCATGGCTGAGCGCTTCAGGACGGAGGGCAGATGATCGGTAAATATGTTTAATATTTACCAATCCTTCCCAGTACAGAACAAATACATCACATCGCTGATCACTCCAGTGTAAATAGCTGAGGACATAGTTTGTGTTCCC